AATTAGAGGGACCACACAGGAATTAGACGAGACCTCTTTGAAGACAGTCTTGTCATATAGGAGATTTTCCTCTGCTATGATTAGTTGAATTAGTCATCTTGGTGGTTGTGATAAACTTGCTGCAGGTGGTACAGATGCTTCTTGTAGTGACAGCAGCAAGGGATTTCTTTTTGTGTACAAACCCACATTTTTCTTTTCTTTTTCTTTTTAATGTCTCATGAAATCATAAAGTATGCATGCAGAGCTAAAATGCCTCTCACGACACTTTCTTGTGTATTTTTATTGGTTTCATTACTTTCTTGCTTTGTGATTTTACCGAGTCTCATTTATTCATCTATAGAATGGAGGAAATAATTGTACCCACATTATAGGTTTGTTGGGAGAATTAAGTGCAATGAGTGGAGATCTCTCTCTCTCTCTCTCTCTCTCTCTCTCTCTCTCTGTCATCTATCTATCTATCATCTATCTATCTATCTCTATCTATCTATCTATCTATCTATCTATCTATCTATCTATCTATCTATCTATCTATCTATCTATCTATCATCTATCTATCTATCTCTATCTATCTATCTATCTATCTATCTATCTATCTATCTATCTATCTATCTATCATCTATCTATCTAATCTCTAAGCTTGGTATCAGCACAGAACGCATAGCAGTAAATTGTAGCTATAAGATTAGTGAAGGAATGGAACAAGGGGTTGGAGGAGTTTCTTTTCATGTAATACTTTGCATCTGTCAGTTTAGGAAAAATTTCATAAAACAGCATATACGTTGAAAGTGAAAACTACTCCAAAGGTATCTATTTGTAAAACCATAAAAATATTAATTTCTGTACAATTTATACTGGCAGGTCCCCAACAGTTCAGAATTAACACCTGGCATTTAGTGGATGGAAAATAGGTTTTGCTGTCACTGTGGATATGTAGAAATGGAAAATATAGAAAAAACAGTTAAAAATTAAATGCCTTGTCTGATTTGAACCACTGATGTAGGATTGGACCTTAGACTGGCTATATGCTATATGTAAATAATTTTTAAAAATCTTTAGTGAAATTTAATCCTTGTCTTTCTCATTGCTTACCCAGAGTAGAGTAAATGTTTTTTTATTTTTATTTTTATTGTAGTTGTTGTTGCAATACTTGAAACTTGCCTCATTCCATTACAGGAGTAAAACCTTGAAACCATCTAGCAGTAGTCTAAGAAGCAATCCTTTCATTCTTATCTGCATAAAGTCGTGGTAAATGGAGAGAGGGAATTTTGCTGTTAATCTGACCATCACAGATCCAACTGGAACTAACCAGCTAATTTCTGGACCAGAATAGGTATAGACGAAGTTTAATTTCATACCATGCTAAACAGGCTAGTGAAACTTGCACAGTGTACCAGAAGATGGGTATCATCATGACTTTTTATTGGAAAATCACATACAGCATAAATGTGCAAATTCACATTACCTTTTAACAAGTCCCACTGCTTTGCAGATAGAAAAGGGAAATTGGTTTCAATTTTGTATGGGTAAATGGTTATGCTTAGTCCTAGGCAAATGGCCTATACTGTAATCTACTTTTCCTTGTTTTCCTTATACCCTTCTTCATGTTGGGGCATTCTTCCTTGCTTATTCCCAGTTGGGCACCAGGGACCTTAGTTTTTCTCTACATCATCATCTCTAAATTTGGTCTTATGCCTCTCATTTCCACTAAGATATGAAAGACTGGTAATGGCTGAAAGTGTTGCACTCTCTCCAATTAATATTTCCATTTAATTAGGGGACCAATCTCAAGTGCATGGAAGAAAGGTCTGGGGTGGAATATTCAATAGCATTTAGTTTGAGACTTGGAAGAGTATGGCGTAGTGGAGAGTGTTCGTGGTCATATATAATTTTCAAATTGCTCTGAAATTATAACCCTTAGGTGTTGACTTCACTACTAGTCCCTAGAGGCTTCTTTCAACTCCTTCTCATGCAGTTCCTAGTGCTATAGAATAGGCTTGCAGAGAGAAGAAGAGTGTCTGTGGGTAAACTCTACTGTATTGGAGTCTCTAAAAAGGAAACTGTGCATACTCCAGGCAACTTCCCTCAAACAGACACAATGACTCTTGTTGATGCGCATTTTATTTTTCCATCAATTTATTTATTCTCATATTCAGTCAAGTACCGATACAAGTGAATAATGCCAGTGTTGCCACATACAGGCAATCAATTAACTTGGATAAGGAGCAACATAAACAAGGAGGGCAGTTTTTATCACATCTTTTGCTCTCATTCCTTATTCTGCCAATATTTACTTCTGCTTATTATTTTAGACTCTAGCCCTGTCCACCACACTTACCCAACACGTGCACCCACATACACACGCATACCATTAAAATTATGGGCTAAAAACTAGCAAACTTTTTTGCTTTGTTACCATTTTGGCATACATGTCACTAACACTTTCCCATTGATCAGTTTTAAAGGAGATTCAATAAATCTGGAATCTCCTGAGATAGTAGATACTCTTATCAGGGTCTATTCTTGTTCATCCAGGCTTTGGCAAACTAAAACAGAATGCTTATCAATTTATTCCTGGAAAATTTTGAAATATATATTGTAGCATTCAGAAACATGTTTGCATTTTAATGTCATTTAACTCTTTAGTAATATTGGTATTACTCCTTTACTAAAAGTATATTAGTGTCTCATTTTTACATGTGATTGGGTTCTTAGTCATTTTTAAGTTTGAATATAAAACATTTATTGATTAAATGAATAGTAGAGCTGTGAATCCCAGAGTATGCAGACTTCTATATGTTTATATTTGCATCTATTATTTATATGGATGCCCTCCCTAATTGACAGAAAATGAATACTGTATCTTTTCATTCTAGAGATGGGTTTTAGGTCTTCAAGAATATGTACACAAAGAAGATAAAATTTTGTCTAGATGTGGCTCCCAGAAAACATGCAGATCAGAAATGGAGCGAATGCCTCTACCTAATGGGAAGAGAGATCTTTTGAAATCTTAGACCCAATCATGTACTACATGAAAAGGTACATTTTATTCCCATCATCACATTTGGGGGAAAAAAGATGCAAACACATACATCCTGGAATGGAATGTTTTTAGCAGGTGCATTTCCATCCAGAAAGTGGACATCTGGTTACCTATAGATATACATATCTACATAATTGGATGGGAGATTAATAAATTGTGCTTGCACTTGAGAATATTTCTATTTTCAAATACACATATGTAAAATTAGAAGTCTGAATACATTTTAATACACTGAATACATTTTAAAATTAATAAATTATATTTAAAACAACAACTAATTGGTATCTTCACTTGGGACAGTGGCATATCAGAAGACTGGTGAAATATTGTATTTATTTAACTTATTGTTTAGATTGATAAAGTAAAATATTATATTTATTTAATATTTTGCTACTGACAACTGAGTAGTATCAGGAAGGCCAGAAGTCATATCTGGAAAAGACAGTTAAAGTTGGAGAAAATAAGGGGTTAATATCCAAAATATATAAAGAACCTATACAAGTCAACAACAAAAAAACAAACAATACAATTAAAAAATGAGCAGAGCACCTGAACAGATACTTCTCTCAAGTGGCCAACAGACATGTGAAAGGATGCTCAACGTCACTAGCTATTAGGGAAATGCAAATCAAAACCACAATGACATATCACCTCACACCTGTTAAGCTATCTTCAAAAACACAAGAGATAAACGCTAGTGAAGATGTGGAGTAAAGGGAATACTTGTACATTGTTGATAAGAATGTAAACTGGTACAGCCAGTATGGAAAACAGTTTGGAGGGTCCTCAAGAAAACTAAGAATAGAATTACCTTATGACACAGCAAGTCCTCTTCTATCTCTCAAATTTGAAAACATTTATCCATAAAATATATGCACCCCAATGCTCATTGCAGCATTATTCATGGTGACCAAGAAATGTTACTCAGCCATAAGAAGAGATGAAATACAGCCATTTGCAACAACATGGATGGACCTCGAGATAATCATGCAAAGCGAAATAAGCCAGACAGAAAAGGTTGAAAATCACATGATATCACTTATATGTGGGATATAAACCTAAAAGCAACAAACGAACAGGACAAACAGAGGCTCATGGACATGAACAATAGACTAGTGGTTACCGGAGGGTAGGGGGAGCGGGGAGGTGGATAAGGGTAAATGGGTTAATATATGGTGATAGAAGGAGATTTGACTTTGGGTGGTGAACACACAATGTAACATGCAGAGGATGTATTATTGAATTGTACTTGAAACCTATATAATTTTATTAACCAATGTTACCCTATTAAATTTAATTTTAAAAAAAGAATCTATAGGCTCAGGGAAGCAGAGGTTCAATTCTATGAAGATGAGCTGAGGGGGTCAAGGTCAAGCAGCAGAAACGAGGAACTGAGGCTGGGAGCAAAAGGCAGACCTGTGTGCAAAGTTTGGACGTTCTAGGATTTGGAACCCAATATGTGGCAGTGGGGATGATGGAGAGCAGAGAGAAAGGCACGGCTGACCATGACCCTACCGAGTACAATAAATACATTGTACAGATGAAAACATGTACAAAAAGACTCCACCTCCTTATTTGTCTAGCATTAAGGACATTCTATAGGTGATGGGCATTAACCGCAACCTAGGCGTATGAGTTTCCCGTAACTGGGTTGAGAGTATTGATATATTCAGGTCAGAAGAGTGGGCCTGAGTATGCACTGTGCGTTTCCTGGTGGGCCCCATGTTCTCAGCTTGGCTCTCATTTCCCATTACTGCTTCGCTCTGACTCACTGATGGCCTGCCACATGTCATTAGGCAGTTCAGCTGCTGCTTTCATTTCTCCCAAAGGTATACAGAGGTTTGGGTCTTGGCTTTTACATTTTTTTTTTCTGAGAGCTAAAGGAAGTGGTCTTTTGATAGTTTGGTTTGTTGAGCTGAATTCTTACAGTGTCTTACAGTTTCAATTTCCTTTCTCATAGGTATTTGATCCTGATGACCTTTATTCAGGGGTCAATTTCTCCAAGGTTCTCAGCACTCTTTTAGCTGTCAACAAAGCAACAGAAGGTAAGTAGGGCTTGTGATTTATGAGTTCTGGGTGACATGTTTGGACCCACGTGTTTCTGATTACCTAGGAGCCACTATGGCTAGGATTGATTGGTGCAAATTTCTCCCCTCCCCACAAATAAACTCCAATGGGTATCGAATGCTTTAAGTTTGTGTCGTTTAGGATTTACATATATCTATCAGAGATGTCATTATAATACCCTTAATATAATGATAAGAACAAAGAAACTATTTCATTCAAAGCTATTGAATAGGCAACTGAGTGTAACAAGACAGAAAAATAAAAAGGAAAAGACCAGTTCCCTTTTTCATAAAGTTTACAGATTATAGTTGTTACTTCCCTTTCTCCACTAGAGACATTTTTCTCATAGTTTTCTGTATGTCTTTGTCCATGTAAAGGAACCCTCCAGGAACTTTGCACTGAAAAAGAAAGCTCAGGTTCATATTGAGTGAAAAGAATATCTTTTATTTAAGTGTTAATACTCACTACATTGGAGGAATTAAATATAAATCCTAGTAAATGTAAAGAAAATTATGATAACCTTGGCATATAACTTCACTCCTTCTGTGATCTAGTATCTTACCTACAACTGGGCAGTAATAACCACAGAGTGCTCTGAGCCCTTACCATGGGTCTAGGCTATCCTACAAGGTTTAGATGGTCTCATTCAATCTTTGAAATAACCCTGGGAGTTGGTGTTATTATTATTAAGCCCTTATTATAGATAAGGAAAATCAGGCTTACACTTGCCCAACTAGAGATTAATTGGCAGAGCTGGGATTCAAACCCACATCTGACTGACTCCAGAGCCCTTATGCCCAAACATGGGTCTTGCTGCTCAAGCTGTTAGAGAGTCAGCAGACTGTGTGGCCAGCACTGCCAGTGGCTACAAAGATAGTGTAAGCTATGGTCCTGTCCTTGAGAAAATTACCTTCTATTTAGGGAGATTTAACTTACCCACGTGAAACAATTAGAGAAAAAGAGCAGACAATGTAATCAAGTGCCAAATAGGATGGAGCATCTAGGAAGCTATCAAGTAATTATAGTTTTAGTAAAAAGAGCTGTATATAATAGCAATAAATGTAAAAATACTTCTCCAAAGTTGTTCATTTGCTATTTGGGAAAAAAAAATGCTTTTGAGCTATTGCAAGGCGTAAAGCAGAAAGTACAGTTAATTCAAGAAACTATATTTAACATACATGACAACTCTCTAGTTCTGGGCAGGGAGGACCGTATAATTCTAACATTATGCCATACGAATTATGCGTTCCTTTGCCAAACTCTCTTAGTAAATTTTATAGTCTCTTTCCTTGCCACAGATATTTATAAAATACAAGGAGGTGAAAGTTAAAACCCACAGCATCAAGGAAACTACTTGGATACTGAGCTTGTCGCCTAGGGAATGTTTGGGCTTTAGATTTTTGCAGTTTATATCTTTTAAAAATAAATGGAGAGGAAAAGAACCCTCATTTGAATTTGTCAAGAAGCCAGCTCCTCTTTTTAGTACACTCTGAGCATACTGAAAACCTCCAGCTCAGCACTGGTCTGATCAAATTCCACATGGTTTCAAGGAAGAGAAGACTCTTGAGTTTGATTAAAAAAAATATTTTAGTGTCAAGATTGAATCCCTCCCAGACACACGGACTCTCTCATTTTCATTCTCCCCTCCCCATACCAGGCACAAGGAAGATATCACATTATATATACCACACATATTCTTATATGTGAGGGAGAAAAGAACCACTTAGTTATGCCCCCCCCCCAAAAAAAAACAAAGAAAGAAATTTGAAATATTTCAGAGTAATAAGAGCCACAAACAGCTGTTTGGCACCCAATATAGTTCTGCCTGGCATAACAGGTCATACTGTTGCAACTGGCTCAGGAGGAAAGAGTTGTAGTGAAATGGGTTAAGAGAAAATGTGGTTCTGTCGCTGTTTTTCATTCTACTGGAGAGCAATGGCCAGTAAGGTTAAGAAAAAGACGTTGGCTTCCAAAAAGGGAAGGGGAGAACAAAATATGCTTGGCACATTCATACTAACAGCTAGAATTAAGGCCAGGTTGACTTTGATAATGTCCCATGAAAGATAATGTTATGTTGTAGATGTTGTTCTGATATGAGTGGTTCCCTTTACCATGCCTTTTCTTTTTTTTTCACAGATCAACTATCAGAAAGACCATGTGGACGTTCCTCTTCTCTTAGTGCTGCTTATAGTTCTCAGACAAACCCACAGGGAGCAGTTTCTAGCACAGCTCCAGGGCTGCAGAGGCAGTCAAAGGCAGTGGTAAGTATAGTCTCCAATTTCTCCTGCCTGTTTTAAAATCTATGAAATTAGAATGAAATTAGATCTAATCCTGGTTGCATCTCTATATGTGGTAAGGCAGCCATCCTGTTTGTTTGGGGTGTCTCGAGAAAACTAAATTTAAACTTAACACCAACTCAGGCCGGCTCAAATGCCTTTGAACAAATCAAAGGCATATGGGTCACAGAGTCAGAAAATTGGAGTTGAAGCCCCAAAGTCTGTCTCTTCCTAGAACTGAGCAAGTCTAACAGAGAATGCTATGCAAATATATCATTATGACTACTTCCTGATGGCATTTTGCTTGTTGTTTCCCTTATTCCTTGGTTTATTAGAACTAAATACTGCATGGCACATAGTAGGCAAGCAATATTACTTGCTAGCATCATCATTATTGTCATTCCATTTTTCTCTTTGTATTTCTATTGGGCATATTATGAGCTCTTACATTGGGATAGCCCAATTATCTTTGCATTTGGTCTTAATTGGAGCTTTTGTTTGGGATCATCTTCTGAGATCTTATTCCTTGTCAAAAGCCACCCACTTGCTTTAAGCTATCATGAGTTATTACTTCCAAAGCACTTTAATTACTTCCAAAATACTTAATCTTTTGAGATCACAGATCCCTTTGAGAAGGTAATGAACACTGTCTTTCACTTCTTGAACCCTCTCAAATTGTGTGCAAAATCTCCTGTGTGTGTTGGGTAAAGTTCAGTTTTGCTCATCAGATTCTCAAACAAGCCTGTGACAGGTTAAGAACTCCTGACTTAGGTAACTATCGGGTATTTCAACTTTGCATATGACTAAGTCTTAGCCAATTTAAGATATTCTTAGTAATTGGGATGTGGGAGGCAGATTTTATGAGAGTAAGTTAGGACTTAATCTTGGTCATATAATTATGTAAGATATGTCTGTGTGTTGGGTAGAGGCAGGATGGAATAGTTTATCACTCTACTTTGTTTCCTGGATCATTCAAAAAAGTATCTTTAGATAATTGGTAGGGGGAGAGGGAAATGAAAGCTGTGACTCCCTCCAATTCACATTCTCACAAATGCAAAAGTTTGCACACAGTTTCAAGGGGTTTCTTAATCCTCTCTGAGGCCTATCCATATTAGACCCACTGCTAAGTTAAAAACATATAATTTCTGTCTCTGCCACATTTGCATGAGTACTTAATCTGAGGTGGCTTTTGTTTTTATAGGAGATGACGGAAAATGGAAGTCACCAGTTGATAGTAAAGGCAAGATTCAACTTTAAGCAGACCAATGAAGATGAACTGTCAGTCTGTAAAGGGGATATCATTTATGTCACTAGGGTTGAAGAAGGAGGCTGGTGGGAAGGCACATTAAATGGGAGAACAGGCTGGTTTCCTAGTAATTATGTCCGAGAAATTAAATCCAGTGGTAAGTAAATTTTTTAAAAGCCTTTTTGAATGTGGCTCTTATACTTTCTTGGTATTCTTACTGAAAATCTTGTAGTTTTAATTGGTTATCAAAAACTGTTTGTACTTGTATGTGTATGTCAAAAATAAGGCTAGAACAGAACTGGAAGAATCTATAATTAGATATTTCGAAATGAAGTTGTATTTAGATAACATCAAGGCAGCAAAAACCTAAAAAAGCAAAAGAATTCAAAGTTCAGACAACTGTTCCACCTTAACTATGTCCCCTTCTGTCTACTAATTCTAGCCCATGTAACATAGTACATAGTCCTTCCTGCTACTCTAAGAATCACCATGGCAAAATACAATAATAAGAGAGGCCATGTGCTAACTTCCTTTTTTAGCCCGAAGCTCTTTAAGTAGATCTAAGTCTAAATACCTCAGAGATGTGTTCGAGAAATAACAATCATAGGACTGCAGGAAGCTTTCTGGCCACTTTGATTTTGGATAAAATTGCCCTTAACTCATTGCATGCTGTTAACTGCTTACCCTTTTCCATAATGATATTCAGAGAGTGTAATCTAATTGCTCTTCAGTAGTCTTTCTAGAGCTTCCTTAGGTAACTTATTTGCTTTTTATTATTTAAGAAAGAAGGCCCTACCTAAATTACCAAAAAAACTCTGATATATAAAAATGTCATGACACAGATAAAATGACGTTCAGTTATTCATTATATCTCTTCACTTTTCAAAAATATTTAACCAAGGGCCCCTTTGAGTAGTTAGCTTCTCAGTGCATTTTTTCTTTTGTAAATATCTTTATTGCTTTTTAATGCCTCAAAATTAATGCTATTAATAAAATTATAGGCTCAATGTAAATAAAACATTACAGAAATATATAATGTAGATAATAAAAATTCATCTCTCCTTTGCCTCCCCCACCCCCAGATAACCACTGTTAGGACCTTTTCCCTAAAGAATTTAAAATAAAATTTAGTTTGCATTCTTTTCTGTGTTGTGTAGCATTTTAAGTTTTAGATTTCACTGTAGCTTTAATCTAGAGATAATTATGGCCAACACCCAGGACAGCTTTTTCCCTCTCTTCAGGAGGTGGCTGATGCTAGAAGACTTATAGGACCACCAATCTAATATTGTAGAAAGTTAAGAAATAGAGTATTTGAGTTTAACACACACATGCACATCACAATATCTCCTTTCAACTTGAGTTTGATGCTGAAATTAGAATAGATTTTTGTGACTATGGTGGACCCTGGACACTGGTGATATTATGAAGCCATTATTATCAGTCCTGTTTGCCTCTCTCTTGATTTGTTGTTACATGAGAAAAATAAACTCTATTTTGAGCAAACATGTTTTTATCAAAGATTTTACTTCATAAAAAAATGCACGTATAAATACCTTAGTCATTATATAAGCTACAGAAGATATATTAAGGGCTTTTGCTCCTTTATTTCATTTGAATCAAATAGAAAAGAAATCAAATAAGAAAGAAAATTAGCCATTTATGTAATTTTCAGTCTTTTTCTTAAAAATCAGTGATCACGTGTAAATTAACATGCTATTTATACAAGAAAATAATTTCTGCCAATACATCAATAACATAGTAAGTTGTATCTCTTTTTAAAATTCTTTGTTTTTGTTACTAAGATATCTAAGAGTTTTGTCAGGACCTTGCATTAACATTTTCCTGACAAAATTTCCATGCCAAGACAATATTGAGGCAAGTATGATTAAAGCAGATACTTTAAGCAAATTTTGTTTTCTACAACTGATTCAGTTAAGGACTCATTAAATCCTTCTAAAACTTCTTATTAGCAGGTAAATACAGATATCAAATGAGGGGATTAGGTAGATGGCTAATTAAATTTGCATTAAGATGGATTAGGAAATGACTCTTCCTACTGATTATATACCAAAACTAGGATTGAGCTTTATATTTAGACTTCCTCTTTTAATCCCTTGGGTATATCACGTAGATGCTTCATATCCAAAGAAACTAGTTGTCATTAGATTTCTTGTTGTTCTATCACCACCAGCAGGAAATAGGAATCTGTACATCAGCAAGGGAAGGGAAAGAATCAAGTTAATTGAAAAGGAATCTTTACATCAGGATTTGGAGACTTTTGTATGGGCGTATCTGTATCGCACTGTTATTGTTACTGTTATATTATATCAAATAACCCATTTGAATTCTACACTACATTGGCTGATATTTTTTCAGTGACTGCATTGAATTGACTGATCATTTCATTGCCTTAGAAACACCACCTAAAAGGTTTATGTTTTAATGTTACTTCCAGTTAGGTCACCTTGAACAATCCCCAGAGACTGAACTTGTCTCCTCTGAACTTCCACATCTTTATTCCTTCTCTGTGTGTCACTGAATTGGGGTTTCAGAGAGAACTGCACATTGTAAGAGTAAGCAGTGGGAGGGTTGGAGGTGGGGGACAAAGAGGAACCAGAAGTAAGAAACTGTCATTGAGGCATAGTACTGATGTTTTTCTCTTTGTAGCCAGCCCTTGAATTTTCCCATGGGGCCAGTCATTGGCAAGGACTACAATTTTTTAGACTTCCCAAGTTTGTCCTTCCAAATCTATCTTCCTTTTACTTTTTTTGTTTTGATCACCCATCCTAGGCCAAGCCTGCAGGGAGAGCTAGAATTTCCAGCACAATGCTGAATAAGAGTGGTGAGATGAGTACTAAACTTATCAGAGTGATCACTTCGTTAGTGCTATAAATTTCTAATCACTATGTTTACACCCGAAACTAATATAATATTGTATGTCAACTGTAATCGAAAAATAAATTAAAAAATGAGTGATGAGAGCAGGCATCCTTGCCTTGTTCCTGATCTTAAGGGAAAGCATTCAGCATTCTGTCTCTCACCATTATGTAAGATACTAACTATAGGTTTACTTTTAAAATTTAATTTTATTATTAGTTTCAAGTATACAGTACCTTGGTTAGACATTTATATAGTTTATGAAACTATCTCCCTGATTACTCTATCTTCCCTCTGGCTCTACATGTAGGTTTTGATAGATGCTTTTTATTGAGTGGAAGAAGTTTCTCTTTATTTCTATTTTTTTCTGGAAGTTCTTTTTTTTTTTTTCTTGAATGAGTATTCAGTTTTGCCTAGTGGTTTTTCTGCATTGATTGATACTATCATGTGATTTTTTAATTTAAACTATGATTGTGGGTTACATTAATTGAATTTTTTCATCACTGGGATGAGTTTCATGGTATATAATTCTTTTAAAATATTGCTAAATTCTATTTGCTATTACTTTGTTAAGATTTTTATTGCATTTACATTTATGAAAGTTATTGGTCTCCAGTTTTCTCTTTTTGTGCTGTGTTTGTCTTGTTTCGGTGTCATGTAAGAGTGACTTTAAAGAGTTGAAAAGTGGTCCCTCTTCTTTTATTTTCTACAAGAGATTGTGAAGAATTGATATTGCTTTTTCCTTAAACGTTTGTTAGAATTCTCCAGTGAAATCATAAGGACCTGGAGATTTCTTTTTTCAGAGTTTTAAATTTATAAGTTTAATTTCCTTAATAGTTATAAGACTATTCAAATGATCTATTTCATATTGGCCGAGTTGTGATAGTTTTTGTTCTCTGAGTAATTGGTTTATTTCACATTTCATTATCGAATTTATGTGTGTAGAGTTTTTCCACAGTATTCTTTTATTATCTTTTTGATATCTCTAGGGTCTGCAGTGATATACCTTCTTTCACTCCTGATATTGGTAATTTGTGTCTTCTCACTTTCTTTTGTCAGTCTTGCTAGAGGTTTGATAGTTTTTTTTTTTAAATTAGTTTCAGGTATACAGCACAATGGTTAGGCATTTATATATTTATGAAGTGATACCTCCAATAAATCTAGTATCCATCTGGCACTATTCATAACCATTACAATATTATTGACTATATTCCCTATAGTGTACTCTGCATTCCTATGCCTGTTTTGTAACTACCAATTTATATTTCTTAATCCCTTCCCCTTTTTCACCTATCACCCCAACCCCCCTCCCATCTGACAATCACCAGTTTGTCCTCTGTATCTATGAGTCTGTTTTGGTTTTGTTTGTTCATTTATTTTGTTCCTTAAATTCCACGTATAAGTAAAATCAAAGCACCAGCTCCTTCTACATCACATTCAGGCACACAGTAATCTCAATGGCAGCTACTTCTCTCTTTTTAATTCATGTTTCTCAGTTCTACATAGTTAACACTTTGTTTCAATTACAATGACCCATTCCTATGGCCTTTCCTTTCCTCTTCTATGTGTTGGCAGGTTCTCCATTACTGTTCACCCTTCCGTTTGGCCTTGCTTTCGAAAGGTGACCACATCTTGCTGGTATCTCTAGAAAGTTTTATTTTTATCAATATTGGTTTATGTCATAATTCCACAAAACAACTTAATTCTAAGTAGAGCCATTATAGCTACATTGTAGAAAACTTGCCTAATAAAAAACTAAAAGAATTTGGTAATGGTCGATTTTGAATATGTCTAAGAGTGCAAAACTGGTGTACTTGAAAGAACACCAGGTTTGGCAATATAATACCTGGGTTCAAGTTCTGGCTCTACCACTTATGATTTCAAGTAATAGGCTGAATGGTTCTATATTGCTCAGGTTTACCCAGTAAAGCCTTGTGAAGCCATCAGGTGGATACAGGCAGATCTTAAAATAGCATAAAGCATCCCCAAACTGACTATACATCACTTGTCATTACTATGAAGTGATAGAATTGGCCCCCATTGCTGCCTTTTTGCTTTGTTTTTGCTATACCTAGCCTGGCACAGTTGGACAATTCACTGTCACAGAACAGTCCTGCCTTGAGCATTGCAATTTCTACAACTGTGCTTCTGGAATCTTCCCTGACTAGAAAACGCTCTACTGTCTTCTCTGCTTGTTTGAATTCTAGCCACCTACCAGAGCCAGATCAAGTACTCCCTATGCAGCAAGTTCTTCTCTGACCATCCCAGACTCTTCATCCCTCTGAACTCCAGTAGGAACCACTAATTATACCATCAATTGAGACCTTCAGTATCATATTGGTTAGAAGTATAGGCCCTTGTCAAGACGCACCTGGGCTTTAGTGTTGGCCTTGCCATTTCCCAGACTCATGCTATTAGGCAGCTGACATCACCTTCCTGACCTCCTCTGCAAAATGACCTCCTGATAGCATTTTTGTAAAGATCAAATAAAATGTCTTAAAAGCTATTAAGTGCCAAATAAACATAAGGGATATTTTAAATATAATAATTAGAAATCAAAGTTAAATGGGAAATTATTCATGAAATAACCTGTAATAGGAGATTTACAAAACTGTAGGTAAAGTAAGAAAGAGCCGTGTGTGTGCGTGTGTGTGTGTGTGTGTGTGCGTGTGTGTTTACAAACACATATATAAAGAGAATGGGAAGACGCACTTTAAAATGTTATTCAGGATGATGGTTGGCTCTGGGTGATGGGCTAATTGTTGATTTTTATTTATTTTCTATATTTTGCATTTTTAAGGTGAACATGTGATAGGTTTAAAAAATGCAGTATTTCTTTTATGGGATGGTAGGAAATTGAGTGTTGACAGGGGTCTCATACAGTAGTCTACCCGTCTATCTCTTGACTTCCTTGACACATAGCCTCTCGGAGTACCTAATGAGTCACAGGGTTTCTTGCTTCAGTGCTTTCCCATACACCTTTCCCCCTTTCTAGAATGCCCTGATTGACTCCACCTCTTTTTATTTGCTAAGCACTTTTTTATTTTTAAAAATTTATCTTGAGTCACCTTCTTGTATAGATTTCTACCCTCTCCCATCCCCAGGGCATAGTTGCTCCTTCTCCATGTTTTCCATGGGACTAGCACATGCATTTATCACTGTATACTGTAATATCTCCCAAGGAGAAAATTAGGGTAGGAAAGATAATATGTAGTGACATTGTTAAACATTAATGATCAGTGTCTTGTATTTTTATTAAGTAGTTTTCTTTTTTAAAGAAAGAATGTACTAGAATGTCTCTTAGTCATGAGTTTAATGGGTAAAATTAACTTTGTAGAAGAAAAGCAATTTTTTATAGCATAGTATATTAATATTAAAGTGATACCTAAAAAAGAAACTTGTATGCTAGTTTTCATTGTATTAATTATTTTTATTTATTTATTTATTTTATTTTTGGCATGGTAGACAGCCCTAAGAAAGGACGGTTGCTATTATTTATATTATACTTATATAGTAAGTTGCAAGTTACAAATATGTACATATTTGTAGTTACTAGATATGGATGTGAAGGGATATGGATGTGAAGGGATTTCCAAAAAAAATGTGTGTATGTGTGTGTGTGTGTGTGTGTGTAGTGTGTGTGTGTGTGAGTGTGTATTTGATTAGCTTTGGCTTTGCTTATCTGTTTTGAATAAGTTGAATTGAGAGGCTGATTGCAGTAAAGAGACAAGCCCAGACTGGGAGTGAAGTTCTTGCCCCAGCCTTGCCATTAAGTAACTAGACTGTAACTCTTTGGTTTATTCTCTCCCTCAGAAATTGAGGGGTCTGGACAAGAAGATCTAACTTTGACCATGTATAGTTTGGTAAAATTATTTAGAAATGCACATTTCTGTTGATCCTTCCACTTGACAATATTTATAGTACGTTAGTTGACCTATGTTATAAAATGTTCATTTTAGACTTATATGACATTAACATAATTTAAATGTCTTTTTCACAGAGAGACCTCTTTCCCCCAAGGCTGTCAAAGGATTTGAAACTACTCCACTTACCAAGAATTATTATTCTGTGGTGAGTGATTTCTTGACTCTCTGTATGGAACCTTTTTACTTGTTGAACCACTGATGTGTTGAGGTGATACAAATGGAAAGCTGGATAAAGTTCATTGCAAGGGTCTAGTGTCAGCTGCATTACAGTAGAACTCTTCTGCTTGTAGGCTTCTTATAGATGTCTAGAAGTTTTACATTCACTGCACTGAAAAATTCAAGGATAACACAAAGAATTAGAGCAAGACCTATTGAACTGCAGTGAAAGAGAAATTGGTGAATATGTAGACATTATGGGGAAATTCAGCAGTTAGATATAGCCTTACCAGATGTTTAGATGGTGAATTCCCAAGTTCCTCTAATGCAATAAGTTTTCAGTGATTGCATACTGTGATTTTATTTTAGAATCAGTCAATTTATTATATATCCTCTGAAATATTATCAACTTTGTTCTTGAGGAGAGCCCAAAGGAAAGGCTGCCCTTTGGCACAGAGGGAGAAATTAAATGGCTCTGGCTTGAACGCAGATATGTCAAAATATATTAGCTATAAATAGAGCATGTATAATACTCAAAATAAGTTCCCGTTTGAAAAAGAAAGCATATCTTTTTCCCTAATATGCTCTCTGCTTTCCTACATGTCTCCTTTCTTGACTTGGCCTGTGATAACCAATAAAGGGATAGGTTGAATGGAAGAGTTAGGATTCTAGCTGTGTCAAGACTTAAATATGCAGAGAAGAACTGAAAGAGAATTGGGGGAAGGGGAACTATATGAGCAGATTCACCCAGGCAAGGATGTATGTGCCCACAATCCATCCCTGCAGGTCATAGAGTGGACTCACATTAATCCTAATATTCAATTCTGGGAATCAGCATCTGTCTGCAGATGCTCCTACATCCAAATAGGAAAATAAAAACAGTAAAGGCCAGTATTGTTTATTTTTTTCTAACTTTCTTCTACTTTATTGTAACTTGTGGCAAATGCCTAAAGGGTAAGTCTCACAGAAACTATATGCAGTCGGAAATGTGGGAAGAAGTCTGTGGCATATTAAATCACATAAAAATCCCAGAAAACCTCCTGTAATCCTTGCTCTTGACATCCACCTTCTGTTTACCCCCAATTTCTCTCTCACTCATTTATCTACCCACTTGCTACTACCCTGAATTTTCTCTACCTTTTAAGTGCTTATATACCCTTTTAAAAAAGACTTTATATTTTTAGAGCAGTTTTAGGTTCACAACAAAATTGAGTAGAAGGTACAGAGATTTCCCATATGCTCCCTGCCCACATGCATGTACAGACTTCCCCACTGTCAGCATCTCCCACCAGAGTGATACCTTTATTATAATCGAAAACTCTGTATTGACACATTATTATCACCCAAAGTCCATAGTTTACATTAGAGTTCACTCTTGGTGTTGCACATTCTGTGGTTTTGGACAAATGTATAATGACATATGTCCATCCTTTAAGATCATAGAGGGTATTTTCACTGTTCAAAAAGTCCTCTGTGCACCCTCCCTTTTTTAAAAAATTAAGTTTATTGGGGGTAATGTTGATTAATACAATTATATAATTTCAAGTGTACATTATAATTTGACATCTGTATATTCTATTATGTGTTTACCAGCCCAAGTTCAGTTTCCTTCAGCTACCATATATTTGATACTCTTTACCTTCCCCCTAACCCCCTATATTTGA